TCTGAAAGACCCCAGAATGATCATGCCACAGATCCTCGGAAATTTTGGTTCCTGCACTGGCCTCATACGTGTGCCGATTGAGGCATAGAATTGCAAAGACCACCAACCCGGCAAAATATTATACTGTGACTGTGGCATATGGCCTGTACATTTGTAGTCAAGTCGTAATTGTCGACTCCGACGATGGCCAGGGGATCGCGTGATAAGAGATGCATATCGCGCAATCCAAGATAAGCTGGCGTGTGTGCGAATCCTGGGACTTCACATCACTAATTGATGGACCTCCCAATTTATCAATTTTACTTCGTGAATCAGCATTGAGAGTTGAAAATACCAATGGGAACCATCAGTGACTGTAGCCGATGCCGACTCCACGGGTTTCTCAGCGTCGACCCTTATCATGCGCAGGTTCGTAGCCGAGGTACAATGCCCGACTCGGTGTCACACCAGCTTATCTACGGCCAGAATGTTCGAGGAGGAAAGTCCGGTGCGACAAGACTGTCCCTTGCGGACGATGCGTTCGCCTCCGAAAACCATGTGCTCGCGAGGTTGTGCGCACTACGAAAACCATCTCTAGACACGAAGACGAGCTCCAGTTCTTGGCTAGTCTGAAGCAAGGTCTACAAGATGCGAGCGACCTCGAAGTATTGGGACAACAGGTTCAGCGGCGTATTGATAACCTTGAGAGTGGCCTCACAACCACACCTGCTGGCTCAATCATTGCCACAACGCAATACGACGCTGCCCCATCACCGGGCGAAGCCATCGCGAGTGGAAGCCCGTCACTGGGGACCCCGCCTTCAGTCACGAATCTATCGAAACGCACCCGTGAGTCTTCGTCATCCGAAAACGCAGAGCCTACGACAGTACGGCGCCACGAGGGCACGCTATCCAGTCAAAGTGCAGCTACCTTGAGGTGTCTCGAGTCTCTGGCTTGGGGCCGCTTCACTGGGCCTTGCTACCCCCACCGTCGATGCAATTGTATGAGATATCGGACTTACGCCGAGCTTGCCTCTGTGAATTGCGACACTCGGGACGTATACTTGCAATGGTCTCCAACAAATATAGACCCGAAGATCTTGCTTCCGAATAATGATGCTCGACGACTGGTCAAAGATTTCCACATGCAACACCTCTGGTGGCATCATAATGGTTTCCATTCCGACACGTTCCTGGAGCAGTGCGAGATATTCTGGACGTCAGGTGCTGTCGTGCATCCTTTATGGATGGCGTTATATCTCGCTGTTACATGCGTGGGTAGAGTGAATCCCTTGTCCGGGGACTTATCACTGATGTTGCTGCAGACGTCACTCTGGTCACTGGCCAACAGCCCTCGTCAATGCCGAGAGCTTGGTTTGAGTTCGTGGCATTTCCTGTCGACGCAAGTCGGAGCCAAGCTGACTGGCTCATGTAGCTTTCGATGACAGCCTCATTGAACTTCAATTCAGGAAGCTGACCGAGATTTTATACGAAGAAGACTTCCTCCAAAACCCATCAAGTAGGTTGGCTCGTGCCTCATGTGTCTCACGCTAGCTTTTCGTGTTCGGCTGACCACGCATTCAACTCGGCTAGTGTTCTCTGTTCAGGCAATCACACTTATAACCAGACTTGGGCATAATCTGGGCTTGAGCCAGGTTACCGGCAACTTGCTCGGCGCCGCTCATGGCATTGCCAGGTGTCTCGGTCTACACCGTATCCAACAACTCCCGGAACCTACGTCGATACAATCCGACCCTGATATCGCCATAGGGCAGGCTCGGTCAGACTGGCTCGAGCAGATAGAGATCGAAGTTGGCAAGCGTACTTGGTGGCAACTCGTGATTCAGGACTATTTCTCCATCCCATTCACAGAGACCTACGCTATTCACCCAGCACAATTCACTACGCCAATACCAAGGAATTGTAACGACGCCGATCTCATCGAGAAAGATAATACCGCAATGACGTCAAGTGCGTATACACGGATCATTGCGCAACAGGCTTTACTCATGGCGCCTGCTCTTGATGGCCTTGGCCCTCTCGGCTCCCGAAAGCATTCGAAGGAAATCTACGAACACATATTAAGATGTGATGCCAATATGCGCCGGAATATTTACAGCCTACCAACATGTCTCTTGCGGGAGGAACACAGAGATTCTCATGGTCCCGTGGTCTCCCTCCCTTGGCTTCCCACCGCACGACGCACCATGGCAATCTCCGCTGCTGACAAAATCATCAACATTCATCGACCGCTCCTATTCTACTCATTCCAGAGCTCACTTTTCCCTAGGACAAGAGCCACATGTACCGCGGCGGCGGTCACTATACTTAGAGAGCATGAACGCGCAGCGTCTGAAGACACAGTGGCTATCTGGACACAGACAGCCTTTTGTATCACAGCTGTCATTGTTTTGGGCCTGGAGCTTCTCCACCAGTCCTCACATACGAGTGAAACCGCAGTTGAATATCGACAGCTCCTTTCAAAAGCGGGCGAACGTTTGCGCAAGCGAGCATGCGACGTCCTCGCCGCAAAGTGCGCCACGCTGATCGAGGTTCTCCTCTCCGTCGAGGAGGAGCTTGTCATCAAGGTTATGCGTATGCGTGATGGAACGATAGAGGAGAAGCAGCGTGAAGCTATCGACGAACTCATCGCAAGTCAGGATATCTTGGCCAAATTCCTTGACTTGGACCCGGTCTTTGGGATGAGACCCATGTTCTGGGAAAGCCCAGCAGCGTCCGAGACATGGGACCCTGCTGTTCTGTATGACGTGGAACAGTTCGAAGATTTTGACGTTTGGTACAATGAGGTGTTCTCGGGCGTTGCTTATTGAAACGATATGAAGTAGAAGGATGAGCATACTGAGCTGATCAGTGATCTCGTGGCGCTCAGCGCATGATCAAAGCTCCTGAAACACTATTCCTGTGCCCTGCTCGACCCGTTGCAGCTCAGAGGTCTTTTGGTGGCCCTCTGCAGCTTTGGGAAGTGCAATTGCGATCGAGACTGGGTCGGATCTTGCGAGGATATTATCATGGACGTCCAGTGCCTCAGCGACCACTTGCGAAATGGATGCTCCTCGAGACTGAATAGTCAGGGAGGTTTCAAACCCAGTCCGGCGAGTCTCCTGGTTCTTGACTTGGACTTGACCTGGGTGGCTTTCCAACTCCTCCTTCCAAGAAAACCTCCATCTGGAGGTTCTCGTGTCACCATTCCAGCTCACGTAGAGTATGGCAGTGCCGGCGTCTACTTCTTCGGCATAAACAGCGGGGGTTTCTGCTGAGATGCCTGTCCAATTGTACCGGAAAGCTCTGTAGTTGTGTTGCTCCATCTCTCCTAAGGGCCCATCACCAAAGCCGGCATGGAACGCGATGTCCCCTTTCGATGTATACTCTGTCAATTGGCCTTCGGATCCCCAGTTCAACAACGCACCTCCACCTGGCAGTGTCTGAAGGGAACCTTGTGATTTGGAGAGAATCGAGTTCTTGGGCGGGTGGAAAGCAGTAAGCAGCGTCGCCAGGCCGCTTTCGTGATTTAGCGCTATGTATTTGCCTCTTGAAAAGGGATGCAGGCGGATTGCTTTATCGCCACCTCCCGCGGATTCCGAGCCGTAGAATGAGTTGTCAAAAAGCGATATAACCTCGGTCGAAGCATTGATAGCTGGGAGGTAGCGCGCGTGGTGCTGGAACCCAAATGGGACGTCCTGACCCAAAACGAAATCGGACTTTGTACCACCGAGGCGCCAGATGATCGAGCCATCTGTGCCGTTTATTTTGTAAATGGTCGAGGCGTGACGCGCAGAAAGGAGATAGTGTCCATCGTCGCCTTTGGTAATCGAATTGATGTGAAAGTAGTCCCAGGCTGTCGTGCTGTGGGTTCCGGACCCTGCTTGGCCCAGTGGCAGGGGAAGTGAGGTCTCTGGACCCCTGGGTTAACATCTCCTGAGTATAGATTATGATTCCACTGAGGTATCTTACCATTTGGCGTTACAAAGTCCAAGCTTCTCCATTCAAAAAGGACACAACCGGACTCAATGTCGACCTCTTCAGCCGCCGAATGTCAGCCCATGCAAGTGTTGTACTGAGGAGGAGGGCCAAAAACCTTGAAATATCGCGTCTACGATCCAAGTTTGATCTACATCGCCGCCATAGCTACTCAGATCCATCTGCAGCGGCTGATAAATTTGAAAAAGCGCCGTCTTCTCGTTGATGATGATGAACTCATGCTTGTCGCTAATGAAGTGTCCACCAGCTCTCAGTGACCTGATCACCTCGTAGTTCTGGTTCAACAGGACATGGCGACCATGTCCGTGGCCGTGCAGACCATTGTGCGAGCCTTCAAAAGCGAAAATAATGTCTGAGCCATTCCAACGGGCGGCCTGGAAGTTTCCAGTCCAAGGGGAGAAGTAGGTGTATCCGTCCCACACGAGATCGCCGTCATTGCGAATAATGTAGGCGCCCTGTTGTGCTGGGCCTTTTGGTGGCGCCTCTACCCCAGTTCCACTGAATGGGGCAACAAAGAGGTAACCTGGCTCACATAAGTCATCGCACGGGATCGTAATGTTCAGTTTGATCGGATTGAGGTCTGGCCGGGATTTGTATGTCATATCCGCCAGAGTAAAGGATGCGGCGGCGGCCAGAAAGAATATTGGAAAGTACATAGTTGATCAGGTGTTGTTCCTCGGTCGTTGTTGTTCGAGATGTGCCATTTGACAGGGCGGATAGTAGTGTGACTTTTATGTGGTAGAAGTTTGCGACGGATGAAACAATAAGCTGAAGATCTAGACGCAGAAGTTCCTCGTGTGGCGCGTGATGCAAGCGTGCTAGTTATGATACAATCATGAACTAACGAGATCAGACCAGGAACGGACTTCGTCTTCATGAATATCTGCGTGTCTTTAGGACCGGCGACCGCCGATCGAGGGGTCCGGAGCGGGTGAGTTTGCCATCTTGCCCGCACCCACGTCCTCCACAGGCCCGTCCCCCCCGCGCCCGCTTCACCCGCACTCCGCGGCACACCCGTTTGATTGGAACGGTTACTCTCTTCATGGTGATGCACCATAATGTTGGCTGAGCCTCGACTATCTCGTCGAAACACCATGAGGCGTCACTGCGGGTATTGATTGCGACATCCATGGATTATCGGGGATTGCCTCCGAGGATTGATATTTAGCCTCGATGTCCCGGCACCGAGAACCCTTGATTTATAGCGACAATCGAATCGACTCGGTGACACTGCAAGCACTTTTCACGCAGACCGACTTTCAGCAACTTTCTAAACCAAGCGAAAACATCCTAGTGGCTTCACTACATCTGTCAGCCATACGTCTCTTCTACAACGAAACCATGGCAGAACCCAAGTCGGATCGAGTCAACGCCCAATTGACCTGGGTGCCTTCATCGATGACGAGAACACCCTCAAACGTCGCCCCACTTTGGCTCCGGCCAGGTATCCCGAGAGGCAGATTCCGGAGCAAACCTGGACCGATGCCGAGAAAAGGCTGCGGTGCGCAAGGCCGATTTTATTGTGATGCCTCTTCTCATGTTCGCATTCTTTGTCCTGCAACTCGATCGCTCCAATGCCGGAAATGCCTTGACGGACGGGTTTCTTAAGGACATCGGGATTACGCAAAACCAGTTCAACGTCGGCATGCAGCTTCTCAATGCCGGTATCATTCTTCTCGAAATCCCAAGCAACATGGTTTTGTATCGCGTCGGCCCCAAAATTTGGCTCAGCTGCCAGATAGTTGCTTGGTGAGTGAAAAAGCCACCTCGTATCCTCGCACTACCTTAACTAATACATCATGTCAGGGGGCTCGTTGCCACTTTTCAAGCTTTCCAGAAAGGGCTTCCAGCATGGCTTACTACCCGGCTGCTTCTCGGACTGTTGGAGTCAGGATATATCCCCGGCGGACTCTACACGCTCTCTCTGTGGTACAAGGGCCCCGAATTGAGCAAGCGCTTCGCGTTGTACTTCATGGGCAACGGCTTTGCCACTGCATCCGGTGGTCTCCTAGCGTACGGCATACTCCAGATGCGTGGCGTTGCAGGACTGGCTGGCTGGCAGTGGCTGTTCATCCTAGAGGGGCTGCTGACGCTTGTTGCTGGCTTCTGCTTCTTCGCTCTGTTCCCGGGTGCTCCGTCGAATCCCGTGACGCTGCTTGGCGTACGTTTCTTCACAGACCGCGAAATTACGATTCTTCGAGACCGTATCATCATTGATGACCCGAACAAGGCGACCACTAAGACGTCGATCAACCTCGGCGACCTGCAGCGTGCCGTGGCAGATTACAAGTTATGGCCCCATATCCTGCTGACGTCTGCAGGACTGGCCCCTAGCATCGCTCTTTGGTCATATGCGCCGAGCATTGTCAATTCTTTCGGATATGAACGACTGCAGTCTAATGCGTTGACTTCCGTCGGGCAGTGGATGGGTGTGGCCCTGACCCTGTTCCTCGGCTGGCTTGCGTAAGCATCACAACTGTATCCCGGTCAAAAGTCAAACAGAAGATTAACCAGATATAGTGACACATGGGGTCGCCGAGGCTATCTAGTGCTTAGTGCCGTGAGCATCCAATTTGTATTCACGGTAAGTAAACTTCGGAGGAGCGGGGGAGTTCGTTGCCGAGTCTGACGTGTCCCTCACTACCCAGCTTGCGTACAAGTGCCTTCCAGATGATGCCGCAGCAAGCACAAAATTTGGCTTATTGACAATGGCTGCGGGAACAACCTCATGGTGGCGTAAGTAGAACGCTCACTGGAATCAATATTCGTCCGGGAGATTGTCTATTGGAATCAAAACTGACTTGCTTATTCAGATGCTGTCCATGGCTCTTGGCTGTCGCTCAATGCTCAGACACCAAGTGAACGTTCAATGAGAATGGTAAGTACTTCTTCACGGGCACGCCACAAGACACCCTTCTCACTGACATGGTAGGCCTGTTTCATCATGTCGGCTAACGTGGCTGGTCTCATCGGTGCCCAACTGTTCCGTGCTGATGATCGCCCTTTCTACCACAGAGGCTGGACCATTGCCGTGGTCTTCATGGCGTTGTCTGTGGCATGCGTCTTGCTTCTGATTGCTCTCTATCGTCGGGCGAACAAGAAGTATTTCGGGAAGATTCAGTCCAGCGAAGCAGGCTCTGTGGAAGCCAGGCCCATCGGGGACGAGTTGATCCTTTCTAAACCGTACAACTACTAGATAGTGTTTCACGTGGCTGTGGCGAGCTTTTCTCCTTGGACAGTACGACCATCACTCGTCCCATAAACCAATAAACTCAAGCATCGTTATATTCAGAGTGCATGGATCGCTCCGATATCTAATCATTGTGCAAAATGTGTGTTGTGGCTGCATGCCTAGTCCTATAATTCCTAGGCAAGTTAGCCGGGTGCCTTGGAGGTGCCTTGTGGGAGTACAACATATCTTGAGCGGCCCAATGTGTGCCTAGCCGCCGGGAAGCCAAGGCCGACTGCTCAGTCGATTACCTCGAAGAGTGAGGCGGACCAGAACCCAGTGACCGCTGCCCGAATATACCGTCGGATGATCGATCGATTGGATGCCCCAACGGTGCAGCCATTCCGGTAGAATTGAATTTGGATCAAGGAGCTGGCGGTGCTGACGCGCCGTTCGATTCATATTCCGCAGATATTGAAATCGTGTGCGA